TTTGGCTACTCTGTAGAAGATGCATGAGAGCAGGAAGAGACACCAATTAGGAAGCCATGGCCATAGTTCACATAAAAGGTAGTGAGGGCCCAGATTGAAGTGGTGATTGTGTGAGTAGAGAGAAGGGAGTAAGGAGATATGCGAGATGTTATAAGGGCAGAAATGGTGAGATCTGGTTACTGATTGGATATGTGGGGTGAGCAAAGGTAAGGATAAGGTTGGCTTGGTAAACTTTGGTGGGAATAATTGTGATGATGCCTTTGAAATAGGGAAATAGAAAAGTTCAGGAAAGGGGAGGTTTGGGGGAGGGGATAATGGATTCTGTTTTGGACATGTTGCATTTAGGCGGCTGGGGAACATCCACTTTTAAATGTTCAGTAGTCGACTGATGATTTGGACCTGGAGCCTCAAGAGAGAGATTGGGGTTGAGTATATAATTCTGGGAATCATTTGTATGGAGATGATAATTAAACTCTTGGGAGCTGATTAGATCACATTGAGAGTATAGAAAGAGAAAAGAGCCTAAGACTGAGCCTTGGAGCCTAAGGATTGATGAGCTAGCAAAGGAAACTGAGAAGAAGCCATCAGACAGGTAGGAGGAGAACCAGGAAAAGGCAGTGATTTAAAAAAACAACAACAACAAATCCAGAGGAGAGTGTATCCAAGGGGTAGGTTGGTCAACAGTATTAAGTGCTGCAGAGAGATCAAGAAGGATGAAGACTGAGAAAAGACCATCAGATTTCACAGTTTAATGAGTAATCATCAGTAACTTTAGGGAGAGCAGTTTCACTTGAGTGTAGAAGATGAGAGCCAGATTGAAAAGGACTGAAAAGTGAGTGAGAAAAGAGAAAGTGAAGGTAAAGGGTAGATACCTTTTTCCAGGAGTTTGACTGAGAAAGGAAGAAGAGATATAAGATCATAACTTCAGAGGGGGGATGGTAGGGTACAGTAATTAATTTTAAGGATGGTGGAGAATTGGGACTGTTTGTAGGCAACAGGGTCAGAACCTGTAAAAAGGGAAAAATGAAAGATTAGTGAGAAAAAGGTGGTGATTGAGGAGACAGTCTGCTGGAGAAGATAGGGGATGGAATAAAGGACACATGTAGAAACTAGAATAAAGAAAGGATGATGTCAAGGGGTTTTGAGATAAATTGAAGGAGAGAAGGAGCTCAGGGTTAAGCTCTTTTCTCAACATAGTATGAGTCAGGTCTTGAGCTGAGAGAGCTGGGTCAAGGAAAACATGGGAAGTTTGAGGAGAATTTATGTTTAAATAAAAATTTCTAATGAACCCAGTCATCTGAGTTGGTTGACTTCCAGTATCACTCATCAGCACCTGAAGAGAATTGGAGTGGGTAGAGGGTAGGTGTAATACTGAGATGGGATTTGGCAAGGCATTAGCAGCGATCGGACAGAGGGGCAAGGACTTCAAGTGTAGAGGATTGTAGTGTTGGGGGTCAAGATTGGGAAGAAGAGAGAAAAATGAAGTCAAGGCAGGACTGATGACGTGAGAGAGAATTAACAGGTAGAGGAATTGGAGGTCACCATGAGGATAAGAATAAGTAAAGGAGGTGAAATGAAAATGAATGCCAAAAAAGAAAGGAATGCCAGTGTTTTGATCATGGAATTGGAATGGTGGATGGTGAGGAAATCTACAGTATGACCATTCTTCTGTGTCCCTAGGTTAGAATGAAAGAGGAGTTCATATGACTTAAGGAGCCTGGGGATTTGGGAGGTCAAGGTGTTTGAGGAAGTAAATAGGTGCCTTTTGAAGTCATAAAGCTAAAGCTGGAAGAGACCTCAGAGGCCATCTAGTCTAAACCCCTTGTTTTACAAATCAGGAAACTGAGGCCCAGGGAGGTCATGTCAACGAGTATTTATTAAGTGTCTGCTATGTTCCAGCCACTATGCTAAGTGCTAGGGATACAAAGAAGGGCTTGTCCTCAAGGAGTTCACAATCTAACGGATTAAACAATGTGGAGACAACTGTGTGCAAACAATATGTACATATATACATACATACATATACACACATGTATCTATATCAATATATCTACCTATAGGTAAAGAGATATAAATATACAGACACACGTATTTGAGTGTGTGTGATATTTTGGAGATAATTGCAGAGGGAAGGCGTTAGCATTAGGAGGATTGGGAAAGGTTTCTTGTAAAAGAAGGAATTTTATCTGGGACTTGAAGAAACCCAGAACAAGGTGATAAGGAAGTAGAGAATTCCAGGCATAAAGAACAGTGGTCCAGAGTCAGGAAATAGGAGTGTCTTGTTTGAGGAGGCCAGAGTCACTGGCTGGTAGAGTATATGGAGGAAGGTAAGAAGTAAGATAGAAGTGGGGCTGGGTTAGGAAGGGCTTTAAAAGCCCAACAGAATTTTCTATTTTATCCTGAATGTAATGAATGACTTACCATAGGTAGTAAGTGAGGAGGCAGGATGTTGGGGAAGGGGGATGGTGGTTGGAGGAGAGGGAAAGATACACATCAGACACAGTCTCTGGCATCATAGAGTTTACAATCCAGTAAGGAGATATTACATATATTCAATGAACTAAAACACAAATAACCTTGAGAAATATGTGGATCTAGGGGATAGGAGGGAGAAAAGAGCCATAAATATAGATCCGACAGAAGCAAGAAGCATAGTAGTATCAGGGAAACCAAAGCAGAGGCATTTCAGGATTGGTCAGTAGTGTCAGATACTGCAGAAAATTGAGTAAGGATAAGAACTGAAAATAGGCCGTTGGGTCTGGTAATAAGGAGGTGATTAAGAACCTTTGGGAATTTGGTTTCCGTAGATTGCTCATAAGTTATAGAATTTAGAGCTGAAAGGAATTTTGGAGCTCTGGTCCAACCCTCTCCTTTTATAGATGAGGAAACTGAGACCAGAGAAGCTGAGTGAGGTGTCTAAGATGAGATAGTAAATAGCGGAATTGGGATTCGAACCTGACTCTTTTGACTCTGAAATCCAATATTCTTTTCATTACAACACAAGTAGTAGAATCAAGTGCCAGACTGTCCCATTTTAGACTGTCCACCCTCATCCTAGCACAGGAATTGATTTAAGTAGAAACATAAGTAAATGTGGTGGTGTGCAAATGAACTGGGACAAAGTAAAACAATTAAATTTATTGACTTCTACTATGAATTTGCACTTTAAATATTTGAAAAACTTTTCATATGAAATATGATGCTTTCTTGGCAGCAGTCACTTGTTTTATACAACTTGCATTGAGTTTACACATTTTTATGTATTTTTTTAATTCATTATGAAACCACACCTTTATCACGTTGTGTGTAAGTGTACATTTTTAAGGAACAGCAAATTTTTTTCTCCTCTATCTTCCAACATCAGGAAACCTAACGCCAGGAATCACTAACCAGCCTTCTAGCTGCCAGTTCCCTCTGAAGATCTTTGCTTGTTTTCTGAGAACGGGAGTTTTTTGTAGCATTAGTTTGGTAGCTCTTGATGTTTTTTTTTGTTTTGTACAGTACTTTTGGTACACCTAATCCTTTTTAGCATTGTTGGTTTGAATGATTCTTGGGAACTGTTGACTTCCCCATGCTGGCAGCAACTGAAATATCTCTTAATAGTCATTGACTTTTTTTAAGTTACAACTTTTCAACATTTCCTTGGAGTTACTAATATCCATCCTTAAAAACCACAGAATAAAAACACAGCAAAACAAAGCAATGAATCATGCATGTGTGCCCTGAAATCCAGCACTCAGCCAGAGAAAACCAAAGTTGGGAAACCAGTTCAATCCAGGCAGCTTCATGTTGGTAGAAGCAAGCAGGTAGCACCATTGCCATCACAAAATGAAACCCTATCAGAGTTGTTGATTGTCACAAGTAATATGCACTGGGTGTGTGTAAGAAAAACTATTCTGGCAACAGTATAAAGGGTGAACTGAAGCAGGGAAAGGAGGGAGGGAGACAGGAAAACATGTTAGGGGGCTGATTCAGTAGACCTCTTGGGTAGTAGTGAGAGCCTATGAGAAGATGGTGAATATGGGAATGAAAAAGAGAGCATAGATGTAAGGGACATTGTGGAGGTGGAAGTCCCAGTGTATCTGCTTATTCTTAACATTAGTTGTTAAAACCAAGGAGGTTCAAACTATCAACCCACATGAATTTATTCTGAGTGTGGAAGTGTTGTTTTAACCAGAGGAAAATATCAAGCAGAAATTAGGCATGAGCATGATCAATTTTTATCATCCCTATTGTCAGGTGGTATTTGTTAAGATTCTGCCAGGTGCACATAAGCATGTTTTGAAATTGGGGGAAGTGTCTGTGAAATTCTGAATTGTTTTCAATCTCAGTGGTTTTTGTGTTCTAATGACTATGTGACCTCTCATTTTGCAGCTGCTGCAGTGTTCCTGGTATCTGTTTATATTAAAGATATCTGGCCAGGAGCAAAGCCAATAAATACATTCCTGGCCCACATCCGAATGATCTGTGATGCCACAGAGTTGTTCAGTGGGGCTGAAGGGAAGACTTGGGAACAAGAAGAAGCAATAGTAACACTGTGTGAGAACATCACTGTTGCTACCTGAGGCCATTAATTTTATGTGGAACATAGTGCTTTGTGTATTAATAAAGTTTGGTTTTTATAGGGTTTTATTGTGTTTGATTTTAACTGATGAAGCCTAATTTTAAGATAAAGAATAAGATTCTGGAATTCCAGGTAAGGATTATCAAGAACAACATTTATTTCTCATGATATTTTTAACACTATCATTAGATAGTCTCTCATTATATTACTTCTAGGGAAGAGACTTCCATCAGGCCTGCTTTTGGGAGGCTTTGGGGAAAATGTTTTTTTTTTCCACTTGGGCAGAGACGAACTCAACTTTGTGGTGCTGAGGTAGGTGCATCTTGTGAGGAAAAAGCTGCTGATAGGTGACAGAAATGATGAATAGGAGCCTGAGTACACACTCAGTAGGTCCAATATCAAGAAAGGTCAAAGTAGGGGAAAGAGAAAGCCAGTTCAGGTCACCTCGTGCCTCCGTTTCCTCATCTGTAAAAGGAGTGTTATAGAATAAATAGATAAAGTTCTGCACATACTGCAAATAACTGAGTGAATGTCCACAAAAACCTCATGAACTCACTTTTTAATTTTCATTATGGACCCATCCTCCAACAAGAGACACACAGACATCAGCTAACCTACTTAAGGATCCTACATAAAATCAGCAGCATTCTTTATTTGTAAAACTGCAATAACATGTTCTCATCTTCCTCATGGTCAATCTTGACCTGACCTGTTGCTGTATCTAAATGGTCTTTTTTTTTCTTTCTTTTTTTTAAATTTTTTTTTTTTTAGCTACCACAAAAGTATATGGCCAGTTTGGTTGATTTGTTCTGTTCTTTTTGCTGATACCATGGGGTTATTCTTGCTTTCCTTCCACCTTCAGTCTTCAGTCTAGGTGGAAGGGAATGCCATGCTTCTTTTTAAACATAGTGCAATTGTACTATCAGCTCAGACCTCCAGGCCTCTATAATGTGCATTTTCTTGTAAAGGAGGAGTGTTGTCAGGGGCAGTGATTAGAACAGAATCCGGGGTACAGTCATTACCCTGTTGCTGGTTACTTCCATCTTCAAGTTCTTTGATTTGGCCCTGAGACTGGGAGTTGCTCGTGGGGCTGATTTGAAAGCTTCTGGCTTTTGGGGCAAAGAAGAGCAAGTTGAAGATGTAATTCCATGTGCACTTACGGTGTGAACGGGCACTCCTGTGGATAGGTCAGAATAGGAAACTAGAGTCAAAGATATTGGTTAGGCAGCACATTATCACAAGGGAGTTTTTCATATTTCACTCCTGCACTATAAGTAAAGGAAGGGGAGCTGAGAGAAAGAAAAAACTTCTTGAGTGAAAACTCCCAAGAATTTAAGGGTAATAATGACCGGCTAAGTACCATTCCTTGCTTTCTGAGCTTCAGTCATCTCTGAGCTTCAAAATTATAGGATACTGGAAATTCTTTTGTTTTGAAGTAGACTGAGGATTCAGAGTGGATGTGAAGGGGAAAAATCTTATACACTAAGAAACTAAGGCAAAAACAGGTTAAATTTTCCACATGTTGATGTGTTTGAAAGTATAGCTCATTCTATATCCATATATCAAGTTGTAGGGGAGGAAGAGAAATGGAAGTTCCTTTGGGACCAAACTATCCTTTAAAATGATATCAGCCCTAAATCGGTTTTCTTTATTTTGATCTCACCCACGCCCCTAAAGGGGCTTTACTATTATTGAAAGGGTGTTACTCCTTTTAGAAAATAAGCAAATGGGTGGGAGGAGGGGGAGGGCAGCTGTGATGAAGCCTGTTCTCTTTATCTAAGGGTACATCCAGAGATACAGTAGGTCACCATCCATTTTTCTAAGTTCTTATTATTGAACCATTTTATTGTGAATAGTTGGTATTTGCTAAATGCTTTTATTAGTCATGTATTATGGGCTCATAAGGAAGGTCAGGATAAACAACTTGTCATTGCCTCAAGATTGTACAGTAGCTCAACTAAAGCTGGCTTGATGTTCACAGCAACAGGTATTCTGTCCCCTATTTAGCATTTTAGGCCTTTCTGTGGATGTTTGATAATTTTAGATCTCTCCCTCATCCCACTATCCATTCCTGTTATGCACTAAATTGGGGAAAATTTTCACTTATAATGTTGGTGAACATTCTAAACAGTTTCTTGTCCAATGACTAATAATTTGTATCAGGTGAATAGAAAAGGTAGCATATTTGCTTGCTTAACAAAAATCTTACTAAAAAAAAAAAGCTAACTTCTCCATTGCCCATAAGTTTCTGACTTGTGTCTGCCTACAGATGTCTATTAAAGTAGACCTTGGGAGGATTTGTTTTAGGAATCAAATTTTAGAATTTTTAGCCCTTGAGTTTCTGACTCTAGCTAAGCCTACTGAACATCCTCACTTCTGATAAAGTACTTACCTAAAGTGTTGTGTGCACAGCAGGTTTTTGAAAAACATCACTGATGCCCAAGATAACCATTCTGACTAGCATGCCAGCTACCACATAGAATGATTGTGACTTTACTGGTGTTAGTTTATCTACCTGAGCTCACTTACCTATCCTGGCTGACTTACCTTGTCGGAACTGAGCCAGACCAGGACATGTAGAGCAAAATTAGGAATAGAAGCACCACGAAAGCTGCAAGACTGACCCAGAAAGCAATGACTATTGAATCTGTTGGAAGGAATAGAGGGCATTTCAGTGTTAAATTGATGCTGTCCAAAAGAGGATGGAGTTGGGCCAAGGATAGCCAAAATGATGCTCTGTGAAGAGATAAAAGTTTTGCCAACAACAAAAAAAATGTGGTTTGACAAAAAATAAGAAAGAGAAACATGAATTCATAGAAACATGGAAATGCATGAACTGATGTCATGGTGAAATAAGCAGAGCCAGGAGTAGGAGAGGTACAATGTTTAAAGTCATATAAATGTGAAGGAAACAGCTACATAATTGTAATGGCCAAGCTTGGACCTAGAAAAGTAAGCAAAACGCTTTCATTGTAGAGGTGAGAGACTGGATGTGGAATGTTGGATAAACTGTCAGACAGTGGACAATTATTAAATACCTACTATGTGCCAGGCAGGACAGCTAGGTGATTTGCAGTGCATAGGAATGCTGGACCTGGAGTCAAGAAGACTCATCTTCATGAGTTCAAGTCTGGCCTCAGACACTTAAAGGCTGTGTAACATGGAGCAAGTCACTTCACCCTGTTTGCTTCAGTTTTCTCATCTGTAAAATGATCTGGAGAAGGAAATGGCAAGCCACTCCAGTATCTTTGCTGAGAAAACTCCAAAAGGGGTCATGAAGAGTCAGAGGTGAGGCTTCTGAAAAATACCTTAAAACAACAACTGTACCAGGCACTATCCTAGGTACTAGAAATACAAAAATTGTCTTTACCTCAAGCTGGTAACCCAGCTGGAGACAACACACATATAGATATATGTCAAATGGTTACAGAATAGTCCTAAGACAGCTTTGGGGAAGAAGGTGAAGAGTCAGGAAACACTTCCTATAGGTGTTGCTTAAGCTGCATCTTTTCTGAGTCAAGTTGGTTACTTTGCTGAGATGCTTCCTCCTCTAAAGAAACTTCTCTGGAGAAGAGAAGACTGGGGATATGTTCAAGTATCTGAAACTGTCATGTTGGAGGAGAGATTTAGGAACAAACCAGGGGACAATGAGTGAAAATTGCAGAAGTAAATAGAGGGTTGAAGTCAAGAAAAGCTTCATAACAGAGCTGTTCATTAACGGGGTGGGCTGCTGTGGGAAGTGGTGAGTTCCCTCCCTACTCCCCACCCTTCAAGCAGAGACTGGATGACTGACCATTTGTCTGATACTTGTACTGGAGATTCCTTTTGTATATTACTTGGATCAGATGGCTGCCAGCTCTCAAATTCTAAGATTGTGTTCCTTTTTAAATGTTTGTTACAAGGGATGGCTCACTAGATAGGAGAAGTGAAGGAATATGTACCCAAAAAAGAAAAAAAGGAACAACAAAAATAAGATTTAAAAAGAAGCAGAGAAGCCACAAGAAAACTTTTGCTCAGAAATATTTGGCAGATCAGTTCAAGGCAATTATAGGATTGAAAGAGAACTTCAAGGTAATTTAATATACCCCCATCATTTTATAGATGAAAAAGGAACAGACTCCAAGAGGTTTTGACTTCCCCAATTTCTCATAGATGAATAGCACTGGGACTAGAAATCATTTCCAGCGCTCGGTTTGTTTTTTCTACTGTACCATGATACCTTTCTTCCTTTGTGGACCAAATGCTCCTCCTCCATAAAAAGGAAATCATGGAATATATTCAATATTTTCTTTAATTGATATTAAATACAAGTTAACAAGCACTTATTAAGCACATAGTATGTGCTGGGGAGTGTGCTAGGCATTGGGATACAAATGCAAAAGTGAAAGTACCTGCCCTCATAGCACTTACAATCTGCAGGTAAGATATGTTCACAGGTAAGGAGATTCAGGATAGATACAAAATAAGAACACAGTGATTGGGGGAGGCAACGCTAACATCTGGAGAAATCGGGAAAGACCTCTTAAAGAAGGTAGTGCTTGAGGAGAGCCTTAGAGACAGTGACAGATCCTGAGAGGAAGAGCTTACAAGGGATAAGCAATCCAGGCATGGAAGATAATTTATGCAGAGGCTAGCAGATGGAATAGACCAGTTTGGCTAGAACAGAGGGCCTGGGGCTAGGGTGGGGGGGGGTAAGATGTGATCAGCCTGGAAAGAGGTTGGAGCCAGGTTGTGAGGGGCTTTAAATGCTGGGAGAAATGATTATTTTCTATTATATTAAAAACCATATTAATATAGTAATATTTATTATATCATCTAATAAATTAATATTTATTGATGTGATATATTAATAAAATTATATTAATTAGGATCCAGGCTTCCATTTCCTTATTTAGGGCCCAGCCCCTGTAGAAAGTAAGTCTCTTAAAGACATGACTGATGGATGAGATTGCCCTAACCTTTGGGGAACAAGCTCCTTGATCTTGAGCAGGACCCCACCCAACTAGGAAACATTACTTCTGTTTAATAGAGTGTAAAGAGAATCTAGCCTAGATGAATTCTTGCTCTTAGGGAATAAGTTCATATCCTTGTACCCCTCCATTGGAGTCGAGTGACCCAGTTCATGAAGGACAAAACCAACCAAAGCAGTCTGGATGGAGATAGATTCCCCTGTCCAGATTGTTGGAGGTGGCTGAGTCTCATGATCAAGCCATGGTCTCAGCAACTGAGGACTTCTAGCTCACCTCATTAAATGTCCACCAATCAAGGTTGATTTCTCCTGTCAGGAGCATTCCCTTTCAAAAAAAAAACCATACATACATACATACACACACACACACACACACACACACATATGGCATTCTTTGTCTCCATTAGTTGTCTGGTTACTGAGAGAAATCACTGACAACAATTTATTGATTATTAGCTAGCCTTATTAATTAATTATTAATTACCCAATAACTCTGTCTCTTTGGGCTTTTCATTCATCACAATGCCAAATAGGACTTAGTATTTTATCCTAATGATGAATCACTGAATGTATCAATGAAGCAATGATCAATCAGCGAAGGTTCTTTTTAGAAGGAGAATGACATAGTCAGAATTGTTCTGTAGGAATAATAATTTGACAGTTCTGCAGAGGCTAGACTGGATCAGGGAGAGAGTGGATACAGGGAGATCAATTACAAAGGATATAGAAATACTTCAAACAAGTGGTAATAAAGGCCTGGACTAGAATGGTTGTATATCAGTTAATGTAAGCCTTTCCAGGTTTTTATGAAATCATCCTGCCTGTCATTTCTTACAGCACAATAGTATACTATTTCATTCATATATCACAACTTTTTCAGCCATTCCCCCATTGATGGGCATCCCCTTCATTTCCAATTCTCTGCCAACTGGGATCTCTTTGTTAACAAGGTACAGCAATGTCTCACTTGTGTGGAAACAATGTAATGTTATAAATGGTAGAGTAATAATATCTTGGTTATTTTTTAAAGTACAGAAATGTGTGAAGAAACATAGTTTCAAGGGCACCAAAGAGATACACTACCTTATTAAAGATTTAAGAGCTGAGACATGATTTCAAAAGAATTGTCAGTTTGATAGGAGAAAGTTGGGGACTTTTAAAGTAAAAGGTTGAGTCATTGAGATTCAGGAGGTTGTCATTTTAGCCACTGAAGACAATGACAGGAAGGTCAAGAGGCATCATGCAAGATGAGCAGAGAAGGAAGAAGATCCTGAAAAGAGCTAAAGACAGCTAAAACACTGCTTCCTTGTAGCTGTGGTGGAAGCAGTCAACTGAGAGGTTTCAGCTGAGCAATTTCCAATTGACTGGAGAGAGAAATGATTTCATTGGTCGAGTTGCAGTAGTGGCTTTTTCTACCTAGAGTTGGAGAAAGGTGAAATTTTTTTGTAGGGGCTTGTTCTCTGTTGCCACCTCTGGTTTGAGAGCAGAGAGATTTTTGCAACTGCTCGGTGTCCTGATGAACCACCTTAAACAGTAAACCTGAACCTGTGTTGCCACAAATTCCATTCTAATTGGACAGTGCAGCATCCAGGTGAGTGAATAGCCTGGGAATGGGGGTGGGACTATATTAAATAGCCCAGAGAAAGCCAGTTTGATGAGCTTTGCCTTTCTTTAGCTTAAAGAGAACTGCTATTCACATCTAGATTTAATGCTTTCTAATGCCCTTTTAAGGGTGATGGTTAATTGAAAGAGCTTATTATTCCATGTTCTAGAGATGAGGATTTCCCCAGCTGAAGAATGAACAGTGAGGACCAACAAGCAATGACCAGAGAAGAAATTTCATGTAGTGCAGATGTTCCTGACTGGACCAATTACATTGAAACCTACAGGCTAGAGTTGGGAGGTTTTTTTCTCCTTATGTGTTTTCCCTGCCAGGTTCCTAAAAGTGCAAGCCAAATCTTTACTGTATCTATTGAGTGCATTGATAGAAGAGTGTAATCTGGGTTTATATGTGTATTATGATGAATTTTTCTCATTTCTGTATTTGTTCTAATATATTAGTACTCTAATAGTATTTATTTTGCCTTATTGTTAGTAAATGGTTATGTTTAAGACCTAAAAATGTCATTATTGTGAGTGACTGGTTGTGTGTATAGAAAACACATTAGATGGGGGCTCAAGAGCTAGAGTGGTGAATAGGAGAAGGGTGTTTCCCCCTCAAAAGAGTCCTAAGACTTTCAGGGAATTTAAACTAGATAATGATAATTGATAGTCTATGTCTGGGAGTGTCTCATATTTAGTCACTAGTGGTATAGACATTAAAACTCCATTAGATTGGGTCCCAAAATAACCCATTATATGGCATTACATTGTGGGACATTGGAATAGACCACATACCTCATTTAAGGGAGTTTTGAAAAAGAAGGAAATTGATCAGGTAAATGGATTGATGTACAGTAGTGAGGACCCAGTTGAGATTTGCTAACATAAATGTGCAATGGACCTAATTGGCATGGTTGTATGACTGACTTTCTCTAGTGGTATTCAGCAGTCAGACATAAGACCTGAGAAGGCAGACAGAGGAGTAAACCAGTATTGGGGGAGGAGGGCTGGAAATGAAGGACAAGTGAGTGATAGTGTATCATCACTAGAATGAGCTATGTTATACTTAAAAGGTT